AAGAAGAAGAAATTATTTTAAAAGGGGAAAAAAATCACACATTCTCCAATTAATCCCTGCTAGTGAAATGGTATCACTTGGGTCCTGGCAGAGCAAGAACGTGTTTATAAAATCTCAAGATGCTACTAAATGACTTGCGTCTACATGACAGTAAGCTGCACCTTAGGTCATGTGGCTTCTCTCTTCGCTGATGGAACTCCTTCAACCCTGGTTTATCAAACACCAATATATTAACGCAATTGTGTGTGAGTCTAGATCCTGTATGTGAAATGCTAGAAATTCAACCCAAATTAGCTGAAGCAGATGTTGATTCCACGACGGCATAGCTGAGGGGTGCAGGTAGACCCGGCTTCAGTGCTCACCCCATCCCAGCCCCCATCTGATGGCCCTTCCTCCCTCAGCAGTTGGTCTCAGTCCCAGGACAGCTTTTATAGGGAGTCACAGCCCTGTAACTTCCATCACCTCCGCCTGCCAAAACCCCTTCCCAGAGACTCACAGCAAAGGGCACTGGGTCTCAGGGGTCCAGGATGGGGAATCAGCCATATCTGCCCTTGGACCTGGTGGGGCGAGGGCCCAGCTCAGCCCTCCTGGGGTAAGGGAGGGGGTGGAAGAGACTGGCTCTCTGACCAGGAGGAGGAATGAATGCAGGCAAAAAAACAACAGCTGTGTGCAAACAGTCACTCTAACACTCAGGAGAAATGTCTAAACACTTTTAGATGAATTACGTCTCTGTGATCCAAGCTTTACCTTTTGATAGTCTTAGCTTTGGTAGGGTAGAAAAAGACATGTGTCTTGTAAGTAAGAGAGCAAAAATTACCCCTGGATAATGGGCATGGGAGGGCCCCAGCCTGGTGATGGCCTCCTCTGGGGCTGGGTGGTATCTTCAGCCTGTGTGATATTTGGGAATCTGTTACTCTGCAGGGTGGGGCTGCCAATGGGAACAGACCGTCCCCAGCTCTCTGCCAAGAGCATCAGCCACTCCTCTGGGCTGCCTCCATCCAGGCGGGTAAGCACACATGGAGGGGAGCACCCCAGGAACCTGGGCTTCCTTTCAGAGACACTAGGGAGAAGGCTCTGGGGAGCTGGTGTGGCCCTGACGTCCTGCCACAGGGAAACATTTGGCACCATGTTGAAAAAAACAGATCCAGGAAAGGTCCCTCCACAAAGGTAACCAAGGCAGCTCACATCCAGGCACAGGCACCCCGGCAGCTCAGCTCAGGAGGGTCCCTCTGGGGAGATCTGGGCTGCACCAGGAAGCAGACCACATGTTCACAAAATGTACATGCCACCCACTTTGCCTGGACCCACACAAGAACAATGTCCACAGCCTCCAGCTCAGATGGCTGCTTCCATCCATGCTGCTGTCACTCATGGGGACCAGGGAGGGCTTAGCCACCCTGCACTCACTCTCTACCCCTGCTGCAGCCCTGGCAGCCTCTCACCTGCGTGCAGGAGACAGGGCAGGGAGAGAGGGCGCGGCCATCCAGGTCCTGATAATGCAGCTTGCCTTGTCGGAAGGTTTGTAGGAGGGAACATGGAATACAACTCCTATATCCTCTGGAAGAAGGAAGCAAGAAAAATATCGATATCTATCTATATAAACATAAATATGTATACATACAAAATCCAACTGCTAAGTGACAGAGCTGGGTTAAGCCCCACCTCCACCAAACCACCCACCTCAGGGCACAGACATGCTCAGACCTCACCGGGAAGACAAACTGAAATCCTAACCCTTGCCCTCCATCAAGACATAGGGCCAAAACCAAACCTGAAATTTTTCCAATAGTCCAAATAAATGCAAAAGAACTACAGCAAACCCCACTAAACATCCATCAGGGGTTGCAAGTATCAGTGAATGAAGAAGCATCGGATGCTTTAAGAGGAAAGAGGAAGGGAAGTGTCACCCACACGCCTGCAAGTCACACCTGTGTCAGATTCCTGAGCCAGATGGAAAATACACAGCATCAGACACCAGGAAGTGAGCCCACGAGCAGCCAGGCCGCCCAGCCCAGGCCTTGCCCAGCTGTGAGCAAGCGCAGTGTCCTCCCACTGATTCGAGGCGCAGCCATCACTCAAGACAGGGCTTTGTGACATGACCCCGCAGCCACTATGGCATTCTTGTGACTGTGCTAAAGTGTAGACATAGCTGGAGGATGGGGGCCAACAGGGTAAAAGAATTTTAAGTTTATGGTTAATTTTCCAGTTGTACAATGTCAGTTTTTACAAAATGTATAATTTGTTTTGTTTAAGCGGAAAAAAAACAGACCCAAATTTCTCTATGCGATGTGGTGCTGTGCATCAGGGAAACAGTGAAGAATCGGAGGAAGTAGGATCTTCTCTGGGCAGGCGGCCTGCAGGATCTCCTCTGGGCAGGCAGCCTCCAAACAGCCTGCTGGGCGGAGGGGAGGATCTCCGGGAAAAACGGCACACACCTCCCGCCCTTCCTGGAGATGCCTCCCCTCCCCGCCCAGCAGGCTGTTTTCTGCCTCTCTCATCCAGAGTCATCCCCATGGGCCGTGGCCCCAACCACGGCCCAGGAAGCCATGGCCTAGGAATCTGGGCAGGTGCGTGGATGTGGGTGGTGTCTTCTCCAGGAACCCCTCCACATTCCTGCAAATACCCCAGATGCTCAGGAAAACCGACTCTCTGAGGAACCACAGCAAGAACCAAAAATGCAGAAATGGAGGGGACGCAGGACCCCCTCAGTGAGCGAACCACCAGCGGGTTCTGACATTCGTCTAAACATCCTATAAACAAAACGTCCCGGGGAGGTGTTCCAGCAGAGGCAGATGCTGAGGGCCATGCCCAGAAGAAGGGAAAAGAAGGCCTCAGCAGATTCACTGATGCCCTGTTCATAGCAGCACCCAATTCACAATAGCAGGGAGGTAGAAGCAACGCAGTGTCCAACCACTGATGAACAGATAAACAAACCATGCCCCTTCCACACAATGGGACATTATTCAGCCTCAGAAAGGAAGTAAGTTCCGACACCTGCCATGACACAGATGAACCTGCAGAACACTGCATTACGGTCAGTCCCAAAAGGACCAACACTGTGTGGCTCCGCTTCTATGAGGGACCTCGGGTAGTGGAATTCAAAGAGGAGGAGGTGCTGCCTCTGCCCGTGGGGAGTGAGTGCTGAGTGGGGACAGAGTTTCCATTTGGGAAGATGAGAAAGCTCTGGAGACGCTGGTGGTGATGGCGGCACGGCAATGCCAATGTGCTTAATGCCACACACTGTGTACTTAACAATGGCTAAGATGGTACATTTAAAATTACAAATTTCTATCATAATAAAAAAATTTAAAGGGGCCAGATGTGATGGCTCATGGCTGTGGGAGGGTGAGGCACTGTGGGAGGGTGAGGCAGGAGGGTCACTTGAGCCCAGGAGTTTGAGACAAGCCTGGGACACACAGTGAGACCTCATCTCTGCTAAAAATAATAAATTAGCTGGGCATGCTGGCGCTCACCTGTAACCTCAGGTACTCAGGAGTCTGAGGTGGGAAGATCACTTGAGCAGGGAGGCTGAAGCTGCAGTGAGCTGTGATCACACCACTGCATTCCAGCCTGGATAACAGAGTGAGACCCTGTCTCCAAAAACAAAACAAAACAAAAAAACAAAAATAAAAGAAAGCAAAGCTTCAGAAAGGAAGGCAGGAGTTGTCTAATATGGTGGAGATCTGAGGCAGGCAGGAACTCAGAGGCCAAGACCCACACAAGCCTCAGCCCACCTGAGCCTGGGAAATGCAGGGACATCACACACAGTGGACACCAGGGAGGACGTCCCAACCAACCAGCAACCAGGGAATGGGCAGCGGCGACAAACACCACCCATGAGGAAGACAGGTCAAGCAGGGTGCCCGACACCATGAGATGACTGCAACCACCTCTCCAACTACGGGTTAGAAGCAGAAATAGCAAGAGTTTCAGCCAGATGTTTCATGAGCCTCCTCTGTTGCTTTTACCAAGATGGGGCCCATCAAACCTGAAGGTTCAAGGTCAGTCATGTCCTTGAGGGTGAAGGCACTAGAACTAAACCAACCAGAAAGCCACAGAGACAGTCACATGGAGCCTCTTCTCGGTGACACTGTGTACTGCCATCCAATGTGTTCTAAACGCCAACGCACTCTGCTCCTAACTGTAAACCTCAACGGCCATAGTTTAGTTTCTATGTTATTTATTTTATCTATCTATATCTATCTATCTAGAAACAGGGTCTCGTTGTGTTGCCCAGGCTGGAGTGCAGTGGCATGATCATAGCTCACTGCAGCCTTGAACTTCTGGGCTCAAGTGATCCTCCTGCCTCAGCCCCCTGAGTAGCTGGGACTATAGGTGTCAACACCACATCTGGCGAATATTCTTATTTTTTGTAGACACAGCATCTCGCTATGTTGTCCAAACTGATCTGGAACTCCTGGGCTCAAGTGACCCTCTCTCCTCAGCCTCCTGAGTAGCTGGGTTTACAAATATATACCACCACACCCTTTTTATTTTTTATAGAGATGAGGTCTTGCTACGTTTGCCCAAGCTAGTCTTGAAATCCTGGACTCAAGTCATCTTCCCACCTCAGCCTCCCAAAGTGCCAGGATTGCGGGCATGCGCCACCGTGCCTGGCCTTAACAGCCATAATTAATTAATTGGTTTTTATTTATTTTGAAATGGAGTCTCGCTCTGTCACCCAGGCTGGAGTGCAGTGTTGCAATTAGTGAGCTGAGGCTCACTGCAACCTCTGCCTCCAGGGTTCAAGCAATCTGCCCACCTCAGAACTCCTGAGTAGCTGGGACTACAGGTGCACACCACCATACCCAACTACTTTTT